CAAGAGAAACTAGCTGTGTGACATTTCCTTGTTCTAATTCCCTATCCTCTGCAGCCCCTGCTTTATCAGGGGTGGAGGCAACACCACATCTTGCTTTTACCTATATTAATTTTCCCACTAAGCTAAGCTCTATCATAATCCCTTACTGTATTTATTAAAGATCCTCAATCATCAAAATCCTATTTAAATTGACACCATTTTTGTATAAAATCATTGCTTCAGTTAAACAGTACAGCTTAGGTGGTTATACAGCAAAGACAAAGAACAGGAAACATACATGTGCAGCTTTAGTGGTGAAATGGTTACCAGAACTGTGAGGTAAATCTTTTCTTGGAGAAGAAATCCAGCACCAGGACTGCAGAATATTTCCACCCCAAAACAGGAACTTCCTGGACACATGCTAGTACTCCAGGGCCCCTTTTATTCTAAGAGTGACCAGAACATGTTGGGAATAGTTGGCTGCCTTGGAACCAGTCTGACCACATGCCAGCGAAGGGGCTGCTTGACTGACAGTTCTGGGATGGAGACCAGGGTGTAAAGGCCTGCTCTTGACACTTTGACCATTCAGAGAAGACACTAGAAGTGTGTGTGGGGGGGGGGGGTAACAAGAGAAAGGTGAGGAACCTGAGCACAGGTATGACAATTCTCACAGCTTTTGCCAGCACTCATGAAGGCTGAACAGTACTACTAAACTCCTCCCCAGTATCCCTGGTGAAGATGAGCCCTCTGATCTGCCTGCTGAAGGACCAGCAGACCTTTCCACCTGCCCAAGCTCCTGGAAAGGCAGAGCATGGAAGCATGACAGCCTCTAACTTCACTTTCTGTGAAAGCCTAAAGAAGAACCTCCCAGATAAACACATTAGCTTAATAACCATTCTCTGCCAAGTACCAGGGACCTAATGTGGAGTTCTAGACCAAGAGATGTGGTCCACACATTTCTATAAGGCCTCCACAGCTACTGGGGGATCTTTTCTTACTCCCAGCAAATCAGTTCCTGTAGTTGACCATCACCGGTTTCCTAGGAAGATAATTCACCAAGGCAAAAAGATGCATAAAGTTACAACTCGGAAGGGCCCTTCTATACTCCACTTGCCCACGTGCCATTCCTTCCCTGTAAACATATCCAGCTCACTGAAGCTCCAAACTGCCCTCAATTTTGCACCTCAGAGGCTCAGTCCATAGAAACAGGAGGTTATCCAGAAGCCAGGACAGCACGCCCAGTATTGGATACATGCTAATATAAACCATGGGGCCCGGGTACCGGAAGCTAGGCCTTACTCGTTGAGAGGCCTTACTTCCGGAACGGTAGAGGGCTCCACCTCAGACTCTTCAGCGGCACTAAGGACGGCGAGCCGCAAGCGGCTTCGACAGTGTTCAGAACATGAAGCGTCAAAATGTCGATTACCTGCTTCACGTGGGACCTGACGAGGACGAGGAAAACTGGAGTGGTCAGTGCCTTCTGGGAGTGGTGGGTTGGTGACGTCCGTGAGGGCACTGGTGTCCCTCAGAGGTGGACGGACGGACGGGCACTGCCCACTGCCGGCTTCGCCTTCCCTGGCGCCATAGCGACTTCGCACCACCCTGGGCCCCGTCACCCAATCTTTCTGTTTCCCACTTCTAGATGCGAGGGCACCCATGGTCTTGCCGGCTGGAGAGGGGAGAAATGAGGAAGCGAGTGGACAAGGCCAGCCTGGGCGGGAAGCCGCAGCAGCGGAAGGGGAAGGAGCAGGAGAATTAAGTGGAGAAGGCCCCTCGGCTGCTGATGCTGCAGGCCTCGAGGATGGCGGGAACCAAGAGGGCGCCAGTGGCGGCGCCCGGGAGAATGAGCAGCGACCCCAGGATCTGGTTCACGAGGGCATGGGAGACAACGAGGGTGTGCCGCCCGTGCCAATGCAGTGGTCCTGTGTTCATCCCGTGAGAATGCTGGTTCCTGGATACCGCCCCCGTCACCACCACAGATTCACCCTGGTGCAGCTCCAAGAGCTAGAGAGCATTTTCCAGCGCACTCAATACATCAGCTCCGCAGAAGCGTGAGTACATTGCCTAGCTTGGTCTTCTGTTTCGTGGGGGAATGAAGTAGTACAGGAAGAACTTTCGGCACCTCCAGGTTCTCTTCTTGTCCTTTTTTATTACTATATTTTTAAATGTAATTCTTTATTTTCTTTTATTTAAGCCCTCATTTTGTGTGTGTGTATGTGTGTGTTGCGTTTGTGTGTGCATGTTCACAACATTGCGCATGTGGAGGACAGATGACAACTTCTGAGAGTTGTTTCTCTTCTTCCAACATTTTATGTCCCCAGTATTGAACTCAGGAATGCAGGCAAGCACCTTTACCTCTGAGCCGTCTTGCTACAGTGGTGAGTGCCACTGTGAGTGCCAGGCCAGCCTCAGCTACCGAGTGGGAGGCTATATTTAAAACATTACAAAAAAAAAAAAAACTAAAACAAACCAGGCTGAGTAGGGTGGTACAAGTCTGTAATCTCATTACTTGGGAATTGGAGATGGGTAGATCAGAAGTTCAAAGTTATCTCAGTTCTAAAATGAGTTCCAGGCCGGCCCTGACTCCATTAAGCCATTTGGGATTGAAGGTATATTCCACCATACTTCTTTTCTGACAGCGGCAAAGGCATATGTGTGTGTGGTGGGGGGTGACCTTCTCTTCTGGCTTTCTGATACAGGACCTCGCTCCGTAGCAAGACTGCCCTGGAACTTGCAGGAAGCCTCTTGCCTCGGCTTCCAATCATGCTTGGAATTCAGGTCTGTGTGGCTAGTGTTGTGAGATTTTATAACATTCATCTTCTGTCTGGTGTGATTATAATATTTCTTTACCTGGACTGGCAAAATGGCTCAGCAGGTAAAGGCATTTGCCACCAAGCGTGAGAATCTGAGTTCCATTCTGAGGACACACATGGAAGAAGAGGACTCCTGTACACTGTCCTCTGACATCCACACATGCACACACTAAGCAAACAAATGAAAAAATAAGTGTGGTATTTCATTTTTCTGATATGTATTGTTTGAATATTAAAACTTCTTGGATGCTTTAATTAATCTCCTTTATTTGAGCTTCCTTCTATCCTGACAAAATGCTTCCCACAGATTTTTCCCTGTCGACATTTCTTTTCTAGTTCTTGCCTTGTTTTGTGTTGGTTTTAGTTTTTGTTGTTGCTTTGTTTGAGTTAAGTTTCCTGGATGACTATACCTAGTGTTACGAGCACTTCTTTTGAGGTTTTTACTGTCTACAGTAGTGGTTTTCAAATTGCTTATTAGAGACATGCTTTGGTTTGCATAGCTATTAATGGTAGTTTGGTAATAAAATAATTTGTTCTGAAAGCCTCAAAATTATCAAAGTGAATATCAGAGAAGGTAGAGAATGAGACAAACATTTTGAAACAAATATAAAACGTCCTTCTCATATTTAATTCCACATATCCATAGTTTGAAATACTAAATGTCTTCCATTTTTACCCTCAGAGCACGTCTGGCAGCATGCATGGGTGTGTCTGAAGCCAGAGTGCAGGTCAGTAAGCACAGAAAAGCCATTTGATAGGACAGCCATTCTAGAACTTACTTTATCTGTAGGTCTTGTTGGTTCTCTGGGTCAAATTGTGTTGCTTTTTTTAATTTGCCATGTTTCAAAATGTCTTTTTAAAGATTTATCTCTAAAGTGTGTGTGCGTGCGCACGTGCCAGGAGAGGGCGTAAATTTCATGGAGCTGGAGTTACAGGTATTTATGAGCAGCCCAAATGGGTCCTAGGAGCTAAACTCAAATCCTCTTCAATACCAGCAATAATTAACCACTAAAGTATCATTCTAGACCACTCAAAATGGCTTTTGAGATTTGTGGTCCTGGTGGGTAGAAAATGGAATAAGAAAGCCCTACCAATCAGGAATGGCTCATTTCCAGAAGACACATAACATGAGGAACAAAGAATATGCTAAACTATTTTCACTACTTAAGTGTATATACACTACACATACATGTGTCTTGTGGCTAAATTATTAATGTATGCATTTTAGCTTAGAAAATATGTATACATAATGTATAAGATATTGTATTAATTATATACAGGTATGTAGGATATATATGCATATACTGTAAGACTATAAGACTTAATATTCTTTTTTTATTTTTTGGTTTTGGTGTTTGAGACAGGGTTTCTCTGTGTAGCCCTCGCTGTCCTGGAACTCACTCTGTAGACCAGGCTGGCATCGAACTCACAGAGATCCATCTGCCTCTGCCTCTCCCGAGTGCTGGGATTAAAGTTGTGTGCCACCACTCCCTGGCCCAGGCAAGGTTAGTATTCTGTAGAAAGCATTTCTCTGGTGAATCATAATGTGGTTGTGACATATGAATTATTCAAATCAGTATAGCTAGGGGTATCCATGACACTAATAATAAAAACTAATCATAAATTCTATCCTTACAGGGGGATTGGTAATAATTCACAGGATGAACTCATATAACTAATGCAAACTTAGCTTATGGGAATGGAGAAAGTATCTAGTCAGAATACCTAATCCTACTGGTTTTTTTAAATTTCTTTATTAGTTCTTTGAAAATTTCCTACATGTTTTGATCATATTCATTCTCCCCCAACTCTTCCCCCCATCCACCCAACTTTGTGTACCAACTTTTTTTTTTTTTTTTTTTTTTTTTTTTTTTGTTTTTCTTTTTTTTTTTTTTTTTTTTTTTTTTTTTTTTTGGTTTTTCGAGACAGGGTTTCTCTGTGTAGCTTTGCGCCTTTCCTGGAGCTCACTTG